AGGAATGCCAGTAGGATATGATAAAGTAACATTTGTTCTAGTTAGTAAACACTAGATTTGGCTTAAGTGTAAAAAATCTCATGTCAGTTATTTACCCAACAGGCAATGCTAAAACATCACTGAATTATTTATTTAGAATCTAAAGTTAGGTAAATCCTATGAACATAAAATATTTTTTCCAGAGGAAGAAAAATTTTTTTCCTAGAGTCAGAAATCTTCAGTTGTTTACTAAAGCAGATGACATGCAAGCCCAAGGCAGTGCTTAACCCATAAATTACAGAAGGGTCACATTTTGGAAACTTTAGCTATTTTGTGTCCCAGTGGGATAGTCTTTGGTTTTCTTACCAAAAGGCTTATGTGTTGACTCATTTCCTTTATCAATATGACAATTTCCTGCACACATTTAATGCTTTGGGCAAGATTAGAATATGTTAACTTAGATGTTTTTAACTAATGTTTTTTTCATTAGGAATCTTACAGTTTTAACTATTTTTTAGCCTAGCTTATCCGTAAATAATGCATTATTTGGTTTGTCATCTGCTTTAGCTGTTCTTATTCATATCATTCAACATGAGTTTTTCGTAATCTAAAAATACTGTCTTTTAACTATTCTGGTTGTATGTTTGCATCTTTAACCATATTAGGCTTACTGCATGCAGTAGAGCATTGAGTGGGATCGGGTATATGTTTTCATACTAACCAGAACATGTGGTTTTTAATTGTAAACAGTGCTTTAGCTTTAACTGTTCATAGAATGTATTCGCTTGACTAACTTATGGCCTTTTTTGCTAATGCTTCATGGTTGTCCTACAACCATTTAGGACGCTGCATTGGGATACAGATCCATCAGTTCTTCAGCTTCACTCAGATTCCGATTTGGGGTATTGAATAGATTTATTACCTTCCCTCTTTTATAACTGATTGATTCTTTATGACATTGTCCTGATTTTATTTTGCTTAGATCTCTAATATTGTAGTATATAATTAGGACAAGAGTTATATTTTACTGTGGCACCTCATTTGTCCTGTCTCACTAGTGAAAGAAATATTTTATGTATATGATTTTTCTAAGTACCTTACCTCTACCCAGTTTGTGTGTTTAGATTTCTTTTTATTATTTCTGTTATTTTTCAATGTTTTTCTAAGACATTAAAACTCTCTCAGAAGTTTTTAAACATACACCCTACATGTAATAACCCTTCTCTTGGTTACTTGATATTAATATCAGTTTATTTCTGTATGTTAAAAGTCACCAATGATTTCTAAGCTATTGAGGAACAGGGATGTTGGTCTCCATACTGTAGCCCAGATTGCTATTTATTTATTCATTTATTCACTCATTTATTTATATTAGACTCCAATGCAGATTATAAATGCTGCTGCCATTATTCTTGCCTGGATAGCTCTTTTCCCCGGATAGTTTGCAGCATCTAAAACATACACCCATACCTTTTGGTGTCTAAAGTAAGAATAAATAACCCTAAATTAGGACATATAAGAAAAATTAAAAGCTTGTGTTTTAACTGGAAGGCTTCTCTATTGGCTATCCAGAGGCTAATCTCTCCCCACTCCCATTGCCCCCTTGTTTTCAGTAAACTGGCTTTTGGATAAGTTAGATATTACCTCCCTCCCACCTCCTCCTACACAATATTGGAATGTTTTAATATTGTGATTTTTGTCTGTTAGACTCTGTGTGCATTGGTTAGTAACTTGATCTTAATATAGTTGGCTTGTTCATTTCTTTTTCAATATATATGATTTACTTTACAGATGGTTTGTTCTTTTAAAATCAGAATATAAATTTTTTATTTCAGATTTTATTCTTAGAATAGTAGATTATTTCAAGTGTACTAAAATTTTTTCATTTACTTCTTTAATTATGCTTTTTTTTTTTCCTCCCCTTTAAGGCTGAGCTATCCCTAACGTAGAAAAACATTAAAAATGTCCTATGGGGCCTGACAGGGGCCTGGTGGTTAAGGGCGCTGGACTCCTACAAGGCTGACCGCAGTTCAAGTCCCAGACCTGGGGGCTTGCTTTCTCACTTTCACTCTCTCTCTCTCACTCGACAAATAAAAATAAATAAATAATTAAAGTTAAATAAAATAATTCTTTTTTTCTTTTCTTTAAATTTTTTTATATTAATTCACTATACATCATTACAGCATACAAAATGAATTTTCCATCCAAAATACTTCTTTAAAAAAATATGTCCTGTAACCTACATTTGGGACCTTGGGTAAAATTAACTTTTAAAATGAACTAGTTTTATTAAACTTTTTTGGTACAGGATTTGGATTTACTTATTAACAGAATTGAAAATGATCTTTATATAAGAAAGTTGTTATATTGCCAGTATTTCAGATACCCTGCTTAATATGCTGGAAATTGCAGCAGTGTCTTTATTAGATGCCCTAGTAAGATAGTTTCATAGCTAAGAATGTCTTTGGGAGTTTGTAAGCATACTTTATTTGGTTTAGAATTTAAACACCTAATATAATAACTGAAGACCCCCCTCAGGTAGCTAATAAAAGATATTTTTCTTTAGATCCATTTTCCTTGGCTATAACTTTCTTCTACTTGTCAAAAAAGAATGTATCCCTTAATTTTAACTAAAACAGAAGTGACTGGTGTTCAAAAGATCTTTTGTTTTCATGTAGAATATCTAAACTTTTGTCTGTCTGTATGGAATAGACAATAATATTGACCATGCAGGAATTAGAGATTTAAATATTCTAAATATTTCAATATTGATAAATTTTCTTCAAATATTTTAAATATTTGAAATTCAAATTGACAACTTCTACTAAATGTAAGAAGTGAAAGAAAAGCTTTCACTATAAATCCATTTTTCAGTCTTAAACTTGAAATCTGCTAATGATCAAGGGAACTTAACATGGTCTGAGAGAAATCCATATCTATATAACTCTTCAAAAAAAGTCTAGAGACACCTCTTCCTTAAAAACAGTTCTCTAACCAATCTTATTTAGCAGTCCACTTTGAAATTCCTGCCCTCTTACGCTTTTATTAACCCACACATTTGCTCTAAGAAATGAAATGATTTGCCTTTTTTAATTGAAAGATAAACACCCTGAATGATTCAGAAATATATTTTGCTTTCATTATCTTATAATCTTTCATTAAAATAAAGTCAATTCACTGTTCTTCTAAAATTTAATAAAAGGGGAATTTAAATTATAATATTGGATGCATGTGAATGTTTAATTCTTAATTTTCTGAAGTGACATGATTTTATATAGCTAAATGTATTATTTGTTGTATTTAAAAACATTTTTTGTCTACTAAATATAGGCGAGGCCCTATTAAACTTGGAATGGCTAAAATTACACAAGTTGACTTTCCTCCGCGAGAGATTGTGACCTATACAAAGGAAACTCAAACTCCTGTAATGGCCCAACCCAAAGAAGGTGAATATCTATCCTTACTGTGATTGTCGTAAGTGGGTTCTTCCTTTGCTTTTTGTTGTATTTCTTTTTTGTTTTGTTTTGTTTTTACATATTTTCTTAGGATAACAGATAACTAATGCCTTATGGTTTCTGTATTTATGCCTTTGTTTTTTTAGAGTTTTTAAACTTTTTAATTATGTAGAAATTTCAAGTCTTTGAGTCTTCATTTTGTCATTGATAGGTATTGCTTTTAGAAGCAGAAAAACTTACTAATGTTCTGTTTCTGTCATTGAGAATAATTTTCCTCCAGAAAATAATGTCCCACAATAAATTAAATCATGTAAATTATTTTTCTGTAGAATTTATTGTATTCTGAAGTGCCTCCATTATTATTCATGTTAATAAACAAATCTAGACTTGATTCTTTTTTTTTTTTTTTTTTGAAGGGGTTTTTAC